CGAAAGAGTGGCTCCCATCATTCAAGTTAAGAATATACTTTCAGCTTCAGTTCCTTAAACGTGACAGCAAACAAAGAACAAGTCTGTCTGCCCTCCTGCATCCCACTCTGATCCTGAAGTCTGATCTATGTAGTGATCAATGCATCTTAAACTGATCTTTCTTTTCTTTAATGGGTTCTCATGCAATAAAGAACAAAAGCAGGGTGTGTTTAATAAATTTTGCAAACATCTGGCAAGAAAAAGAAAACACTGGAAGGAAGGAGAGCCAAGCAATATGGCACTGAACTAACTATTTATAGCAAAATCTGTAGGATTAATTTAATGACATTTGTTCCATTAACATATCATGTATTTGCAAATCATAAGGTCAGGTCTTCAAAATGAGAAAATTGAGGTGCTCAGCATTTGGCATACTCAAACCTTGCGGAAGCTGCTTGCTGATTCAAGCAGCATATAGCATATAGCCAGACTCTACCTTCCTAAGTGGAACTCCACTGTGCTCCGTGGCATAGAAGCCTTATGCAATATTCATAGAACCTGCTTAACCAAAAGAATTTTGATTCTTAGAAAAGGTATTTCCCCTTTATTTGAGTATTAACAAGCTGTGGATTCGCTGTTCATTACATATGAATTTTTCAGCTTTCAGGAATAGTTCTAGAGGTAATGATAAAAATAATCTAGTTATTTAAAAAAACACTCAAATAAATGCCTGGGATCTTTTTCTTTAACTAACTGCCTCTGCCATAAGAAGACACGTAGTGATCATGAATAAAACTGCTTGTTACAGTTCAGAAGATGATGCACAGCTGGTAGCAATGTCAGTCACTTGCACGAGGTTCCAAATATAAAAAAACATTTTGCTATTACTCCCTGTGATGGCTGTGACTAATATTTCTGAAGCATGGAGCAGAGCTGTCTACATTTAATGTCATACAGCAGGCACAGCCTTTTAAGCAAAAGACCTCACCTTGCTTGAAGACTGACAGTTTAATTAACATTTCATTTCTTTTTCGCTTAAAATAATACATCCTAAAGTCCTTTCTTGAGACTAGGTCATGTATGTTGGACACAACAGAGTACTAGAGCACGTATAGTTAGGCCTCTTTGGAATGGGATGAATAAAGTGCTGTAAATGTCAGGCGGACTGTCTATATTTTGAACGGGGCAAGTATCCCCAATATAGAGGGCAATATAGGGATTTAAAATACATCTATTTTCTTTTCACAAAAACCACAAGGAAGGTGATCTCTGATGAAGCTTTGCTTACTGGTTATCAAAGACAAAACCAGTAGCGTCTCATAGCCCATTTGTAGGCAAGTGACTACATTACTTACTTATGTAATGTGTCATGTCGCTGGCAGGAGAGATTTTTAAAATCCCGGCGCCTACTTTCACTCTATGTCATTTGTTGTCCTTTGACAGTCTATTTTAACATTTCCATTGAGAAAATAAGAAAAAAAGAAATAACCATATTCTGGGCTTAGAAATCAATTAGCTAGCTGCCAGAATTTGTTCCAGAAGCACCGCTGAACTTTCAAGTGCTAGGAGCTGTTTACCATGAAAGCAAGAAAATTAGGGCCAGAAGTAATAGTTCTTACAGTGTACAGATCTTTCAGCTTCACTGGAACCAGAAGGGACTGGGGTAAGTGAGGTTTGTTCAGTGACGCTCAATAGTTTTCACAGGCATTTTCTAAATACATCAGCAGAATTTAGTGCATATAAAGATATGTTTGGATGCATCAATCTCTTATTTTTGTTGTGCTCCTGTGAGTTTTTAAAATCTCTTGTAGCTACACCTTGGGCTTTTTGTTTCCTGCTTGTTCTCTGTCTATCTTTCTTTTTCAAATATTTACCTGAATCTGAATATCCCTGGAATTGATCACTTCCACGATTCCCACAACGTTGTCAAACACAAGGCCAAACTTTTTACAGTTGTCTAAAATAAAAGCAATCATAAATAAGAAAGGCAAGATAAAAGAAATATATGCACACCTGCTACATTAACTACAAAAATTCCCAGTCTTGCACTGCATAGCTGAGCGGCTTTACTTACTTGATCAATCCATTAAAGGGAGTGGAATGATTCAGATGCATTATTAATCACGTAAGTCAGTTTTTTCAAAATTGGCATTTAAAGCCCAGCTGAGCTATCCACTCACCAATCGTAATTGAATTGATTTTTCCTTTTATCTGAAGTGTAGATTTGTTACACTTAAAAATGTAGGCCACTTGCTTGAGTTCAGTGTTGTTAATGACCAGGTCATTCTTATCCTCTTGATATTCCTATTTCAAAAGAAAGTTTATTTAATTGGTTGTCTTTAACTAGCTAACAGTCAGACAGAGTTTAGTACAACTTACCCTCGAGTCATTGCATCTTCAGTTACAACAGAGCAATATCCTTCCTGTGGCTTAAAAATCTAACCTGCTTGGTGATCAGGTATTTCACCTAATTCACCCTTAGATGACACATGTATATTTTAGAGCTGCAGAACTGAAGAACTTAGCATAGACCATGACAAAACCCATTGATTTTGTAGCAAAAGCTCACAACAATTTAAAAATGCCCTCACAAAACTGTTGCTTGGCTTCCATCCAATTTAGACCGGCACCTTAAAGAAAAGAGCAAGTTTTTGTTCCCCCAAATGTTATATAATGGTCTATACAGTGTGTTATGAACGGCTGCAGGCATTACCATATACAATAAGGAATAATAGGTGAAGAAATTTCCTTCCGTTGTGAAGTGTGAAGGGACATTTACACTCCATGGATGTCAAGGAAAGACTAGGGATCCACAAGGAAAGTTCCAGGTACTATAAACCTAAGGCAACACAACACAGGCAAACTGTGACTGCACCTTCTGCGAACTCAACTCCACAGTAATGACTGTGTATATAACCTTCTGCATGACTAAACTGCATATTGTTACTTCCCTCTTTTAACCAACGCAGTCATGTGAATTTTCACGCATAGATTCTTTGGTATATGTCTACATAAATTAACTCCCAAACTTGAAACAAATCTATCTTTTCCATCTGTACATTGAGCAAAAGGAAAACACTTCTCTACTTTTAAGCATGGGTGACGTGCTTGCATGGTGATGAAAAATAAATGTATAATTCCGTTGGTTAACAAAGCTGGAGAAAGTGCTCTATGATAATACTGTTATCTCTCACTTGCATGAATGGCCTGCAAGAAGGGACTTTAATTGGAGCTCTCCACTGAACTTGTTTCTGGGGGATTGTCTGATTTTGCAAGGAATTTACATGCTGGTTCTGACATTCTCCAGTTCAGACGAATTAGTATATGATTCTCAGAGACAAATGAATTAACTTTAGATGCTACAGAATAGTAAAAACTAAACTGTAGCAAGGCAGAGCAATGCAAGAATCAGCCCATTTGAGTTGCAGCTTTGACTTGTTGCACCTTGATCATGGATAGTCTTTTGCAAGACGTTCAGTGCCTAGCCTGGTTTGCAATGTGCAGGGTGCAATTCAGAGGTGTGACTGGAACTCACCACTCTCCACTTCTTTCCCTCTAGCTCCAAGACAGGGGCATGGCTCTGCTGCGGGGAATTGTTGGGAGAGGTGGGACTTGGAGTATGGCTTTTTGTCGGGGATCGAACAGAGGGACACTGAGCACGTAGGCTGGGGTTCTTGTGAGTCTTCTGGTCATCAGAGACATGTCGAAGCCCTAAAAAAAAAAGGGTGTTTATGAAAGAGAGTCTGTTTTCCAGTCCTAAGGTTGTTCATATTTAAGCAGGAAAGGTTCATTTGTAATTGTGTTAAATCATTCTGTGAATTTACATTTTTTATTTCCTCAGGGTTTGCCTGGGTAACGACCTAAAGTGTAACTGCCTACATATTTTTAGCACTTTTACTGTGGATGAGCTATCTTAGTATCTTTAACAGGAAATGCCACAATGTCTTCTAGTCCCTCTCTGCCTGTAGCGAGCTCTGAGAGCTTGTTATATCATATTTTTCTATCCATAAAAATGAGATTATTTTTCTAATTTATGACAATATTTGACCTATCCCTGCAGCATTAAAGGCAGATATATCAGTCGTATGTATTTAAACTCACAACCAGCCACTTGAATTACAATGTCCAGTATTAATACAAAAAGCTTTATTATTGTACTCCACACTGAGCTGTAAGCCGGATCTTTTCACCTAACATGTAACACATTTTGACACAGGTTGGAACACTGAATGTGAATCAGAAAAGGGGATAAATTTTTATTGCAATTGCAGCTTAGAGGTTCACCAGCTACTGGGGGTTGAAGATGTTCAGCTTGGCTGCCTTAAAATTAAAAGGACACCTCTAAATAAATGGTGTGAATTTCAAGTATGCTGAACATACTTGGGTGCTGTTGCTTCTAAAGGAGGTTTTGGTATGCAGTCTCATCCATCAGACTCAGTGCATGCCTCAGAAAGATCTGAGCTGCCTAAATGTAACTTAAAAATGCAGTGGAAGTTGGGTTAATACAAATAGCAGCTCTTGATGTAGTCTGACTCATGGACCAAAATTTGATTTCTTTTCTCCTGACCTTTGGTAATTGCTTCTCCCTGGTTAAGCTGTGCAAATAGGGCTGAGCGAGATGCGGTTCCTTCATCCTTTATGGTTTCTGTATCAAAGATGGGGGGAGGTCCAGGTGGTGGCGGTGGTGGTGGCAGTGGTGGGGAGAGGCATGACCCGCTTGTTAGAACAGATCGCATAGACATGGGTGATGCAACAGGACCCTGTTTGAGATAGATGGAAATTATTTGACATACAGTGTTTCAAGGAACATTGTATTATGATAACTCTTATTTATTAACATCCTTGAATGCTGTGAGTTTGAGTGACTCTAGGCAGTCACAGGCTCAGAAGAATTCCTGGCACTGTGATCGAACGTAATACTATGAATCTTTCCCTGCATCAAAGCAGGCAAGGCTGGAAAGACTGACAGTCTACAGCACTACCTTACTGCAGAACTACTCCACGTAAAATATTTCTCTCAAATGCTTGTCAAGACTGATGTTAAAAATCTTTAATAGTAAAGATTCCATCATTTACTCCAGTGTTTACTTACATAAAAGGGAAAATGACTCCGTCTTTTCAGATACCAAATTCAATTAGCCATAGATTGGTGTGCGTTCAGAAACATACAGAAAATGTTTTGATCTAACACAAATAACTGGGAGGGTCATGAACTGTCAGTTATACATATGCAACATGCTAAATTGTATGCAAGATGTAAAATGCTATTCTTCAGACTGTTCAAGTAATCTTGAAAAGATTCAAATGCAAAGATTCAAATACAGCAGAATGTAAAACTATGGTGATTCAAGTCTCTTATTTCTGAAATTCAGTATTTGAGTTTTCAGTTCAATTTCTCAAATTCTTTTTTCTCTTTTTCAATTGCAGGAGATCACAGCACACAAGTTATGAGTGAGGGGGACCTTGGTAAAGCAAGTAATCCAATCTTTCTTTCAGTTTGCATAATCAAAAGTACATGTTTTGGTCTGAATTATAATGCTTACATAGAATATTATCAAACAGACAGAAAATACTAATAATGATCTAATTAAAAACTTATGCATCCTAATAATAGATGTTAGATAGAATCTGAGAAACTGAGAATGACTTTTTCCGTCTTGCCACTGAGTGTCACTCTGATCCCACCTCTCTGCAGCAGAGCTGAGACTGTTTTAAAAGAACCATTGTGAAAAATTAGATTGGTTCTGATTAATTTAGCTAGCTATACAGACATTGTGCATTGCACCAGTACATATTTATTAGGTGGGCAGATGCAATGGGAAAATGAGAGGGACTTACAGAGTCACAGCTCCTCTAATTGGCTACCTTTGTTAAGAAATACAGGTTGTTAAAAGTACATCCCTGGTAATCAATACTGGAAATAGATATTGCTTAGCTGGACTCAGAGGATATTTTTAACTATTTATGATGCCACTCCTTTCTGCTTTCCACGAAACTGAAACAGCAAAGTATCCATCTGGTTCATGGATCTCACATGAGTGAAAACTGTAGCTATTTTTTAGAAAGTAAACTTGTTCTGGCCTGTAATCCCAAACTGACAATGGGAAAGGGGCTGAGGTGCACATGCTCTTTTTTTTTTACTCTTCAGACATACTTTTAAAGAAAAAAAAGAAGCCTGGCACATTTGAGTAAGTAACTGCATTCAAACCTCTTAGTCATTATGACCCTAATTAGAGTAGCACAGAAAGGGAATATTAGTTAACCTCTTAATATACGCCCTCTATTGGCACATGCATCTTCAGCATGTAAGTACTGTTGCATTTGAAGGAGCTGTTTGTGGAATATGTTAGTGATGAATACATAGCAAGATTCTTTGTCACATTAGTGACATTAAAACTGCATTGCACAAAAAAGACTGTTGAATCCCCAGTACTTGGGTGAGTAATGAAACTGATGTAGTGGTACAGTTTGATTGTTCCTGAAAGGACCCAAGATCTCTTAAGGGAATGAGCTCTCGTCTATGCTATTAAATCTTTTTGTTCAAATGTAAACAAATGAGAAGAATCCCCTTTTGGAATTGATTACCATTTATTGTCAAGATGTACTGGAACTGATGTGGACTGCTTTTAGAGACATTTCATTGTTGCATGGATACATTTAACTCAGGGCGTTTTTGCTTACATACTTAGTAGTTATAGGTTATTGTTTTAGGCTGGGGACAACTTCTTCACTTGGCCCTCAATTTACAGTGCCTGTCTTCCTGCCTCTGCTAATGCCAGTAATGTTACCTGCAGCAGAGTCAGCACAACTGTGAATTATTATTATTAAAAAAAATAATGTAAGTGGATTTAGTGGCACAATCAGTTGTTGCTGCCTGAGGTGCAATAGAGATCTTCGCTATCTGTTGCCTGCAACCATAGCAACTGAATCCACTATGTTCTGGTTATCCAGAATTATGAACATGGCATTTGCAGGGCTTTTTAAAATACTCAGATACCAGAAATGGCACTCACTGTTCACAGTGCAATGTGAACATGCAGTTACGAATTATGTATGCTTTATGGGAGGAGATTAATAGTAGCAGTGGTAGTGGTTAATAACTTGTAGTCTGAGATAAAAATCTCATTTCCCAAATTCTGGATTGACATCTGATTTCCCAAACATACCTTATTGCTTCCACCTGCATAAATACAGTGCTGTGATTTTCCAGAAACTTGTGTATGTAATACTCACGTGTTCATTTGGAATTAACACCAATTAAATTCTGCAAGGGCTGCAAAGATGCATTAGAGAAAAAACAATGTAGAAGTTATCTGGGTATTCTGCATACAACACAGAGTGGTGGGTCACTCTGCCAGTCTCTTTGCTTAAAGTGTCAAACTGAAGGCCATCACAGATCATGCAGGAGACTCCAGGCTCAAATGATGCTGCTGAGTAGTGCATCAAAGGCAGTTTTCCAAATGGCAACAAAAGTGTGGGAATGTCTATGTAACCGAGGTGGAAGCAAAACTCAGAGGAATTTATCTGTGGAAGTAGATGATCTCTCTCCCAGAACTCTGAAAGAACTAACTTCTGAAAGTACAGACAAAAAGGAAGGATTTTAAATACATGAATCAAGTGTGGACGTGGTTTTGTATAACTGGAGAATTACTTATTTACTTTTCAAGAAAGAGCAGAGGTAGGAAACGATCTGCGAAACTAGGAGCATCCTTCCCTGCTAGAGCAGTACTGATGAAAATACAAGTCTAGTAAAAAATCTCAATCCTTGACCTGAGGAGTGAAGACATTCTAGTCCTTTGAGTGGGTTTCAAGAGTAGGGAAAAAAATTTATCCCTTGCACTCATGCTGCCCATCTGCCTCCTCTTTTCTTTACAAGCCTGATCCCTCCACCAAAGTCAGTGGCTATCTCCACTGAGCTGAGAAGATTATGAGTTAGATCTAATTAAGAACACAGGAGCTGTCACAAGGTCTAGGAAGACACCTGGGGTTCAGTCACCCTTCCCACTTTTCCTCTTAATTTTGTGCAGTCACAGAAATAAGAGATGGACTGAACCTTTGTCGTTAACTTTTCTCCTGCATGACAAATTCTTGTCTAGTTTATGACCTGAGTTACAGATACTGTATCATGGTATTTTCAATTATGTCTAAACATATATGGCCATTCTGGAAACTGTAAACAATTTCAATCAAAAATTAGGCCAGGCAAAATTGAAGGACAAATCAAAGGAAAAAAGGTCGCTAAAGTACAGGGAGGGACTAACTGCTTCACGGTAGATCTACTGTCTTATGGCATGGACACATCCAGTAGAACAATCCCCCATTGAAACAGAACAGCATGGAAAAGACAGACAAGTCTCACTAATGAGGAGGCATACAGAGACTTGCTGTAAAGAGGGGTCCAGTCTCACTCTGGCTTTTGTCTTCTTTTCTTTGCCATTTTGATTTACCTGACTGAAATCAAACAAACATTCAAGTGAGGTGAAATTCTTTGTGGGAAGAGTGGCTCAGGGAAACTCTAACAAGGGGACAGAAAGCACAAAAGAGAACTGGAAATGCAGAAAACATTGCACTTCTTGCATTCCCTGCATGCCGGGAAGATGGGACCTGTGCTGCACTCAAACATGCTGATGCAAAGGGCAGTTTTAAAATCAGCCTAGTGAAGCGGTTCCAGGAACTTTCTTTTTTGATTAATTTTGACCTCTGTTAATACATAGACCTCCAAGTTACCAATCTAAGTCACTGGCAATTGGTTTGCTTTCCTTAGTCACCCTTCCAAGACCACTTAGACCCTCAGGCTCTAGAATATTTCTGAACTACACTCTTAAACTGTTCTGGTATCTGGCAGTACTTGTGTATAGTCCTATCCAATTTCAACTAAAGTGCCTTTCACAAAGTCCATTCATTTCTGTCCTGTATAGGGTGGTGTTTGTGAGAGCTGCTGGGAATAAAATAGCATGTTATATGCCCGCAAAAGTTCATCTATCCTAAAGCAGCAGGTGCTTACCAGCATTGCTATTTGCAAACAACTCTTCAGATTAACTTCAAGCAGATGTTAACAACAGTGTATCTTTACACAAAGAGTATTAAGAGCCATTTGGACTAGCGAAGGCGGTTATTTGCAAGCCGCCTTTCTTCCTCTTTTATTTCAGCTGTTTGCCTTGGTAACAGCTGCTGTTCTCAGTGCTGTGGTGTCTATAGACATCACATCAAGTTATGCTGGTAGCTGACTGTTCCCATTAACATGTTGGTGTGGTCATTTTTCCATCGTTTGCAAACACGCCCCTTGTAAGAATTATCAGGGGAACAGATAGCTTCAGCCTTACTTTGTGAAAATGTTAACACAAAAATAAGCCATTAACTTTTAACGTGCTAGCTTTGTATCATAGTGAACTTGATGTGCTTTAAACCTTGCTCCTGGAGCTTTCTGAAATGGGGGAAAATGTAATTCTCTGAGTAAGGTCCTATCAAGAACAGGAGATACGGGCCCTGTGGCCATGTAGTGACAGCTATGTAGGGGATGGAACATTCCAGAAATTTCTTCCCAGGGAAAAAATTGTCTTCAACCTTCAACTAAACCATGCTTTGAATGGGGTGACAGGAACGGGTCAGGGTTTGCTCCTTGCTGGATAGCCCAGAGGCATCTGCAATGAGGCCCAGGAGCCTCCCATTGATTGTGGCTCAGTAACTTCCTCTATGACAGAGTCCGAAGCTGCTCACGGAGCTGCGTCTGATAAATGCGTATTATCACTGGGCAAGGGTT